ACTATTTCACTATCATGAATAGTTCTCTAGAACCTCAAAGAATGGGTAATACCTTCTTATTTTCATATGTTGGAGGATCCACCTTTTGGTGGCAACCACAAAGACAATAAGCAGATATTACACACTAAAATCTGGCTCGGATACCAATTGTTGCGGAAGACGGCTATCGGATAGAGCAAAAATGCAACTGATAATTTGAGAAATAAAAATTGAAGATAAAAGAGGCACAAAATTTACGTGGAAAACCCCTAAATAATATAGGGTAAAAACCACGGGCAACGGTAGAGGAATTTCACTATGAGAAAAATAGGAATTACAACCTCTCTCGATAAACAATGATAATTCTCTCTTGATAAAAAGAAGAAAACAACTCTCAAGAAACTCTCTAAATTCCCTATAGTATTGGAAGAAAGCTAGAATGCTTTGGGATGGTTTTGAAGCTAAATGAACTAGGGTATTTATAGTTGAAGCCTTAAGGACTAATTTGTAAATACCCTAAAGTCCAATGAGTAAATGAGCTATTTTACCATTACAAAAGTCATGCTAATTGCACCACTTCCACCACCAACAACAACAACAAAACCCAATTCCCATATGCAATGGGGTAAGGGGGAGGTAGGGTAGTAGGCTGCCCCGAACGCCAGGTTGAGAGTAGCTTCCGTGGAAGACCTCCGGCAGTCAGAAAATTAAAAATATAGATAAAATGCAAAGCATGTATAAATAAATACATAAATACATAGTTGAACAATATTCATATGCAGTCATAAATATCATTAATGCAATGTGTTTTGCTTTTTGACTTTGCAACATGCTGTAGGCAGCTTATTACTTTTAATTGGGTGAAAAGTCATAGTTGGTTTTTATATGAGTGGTGAGTTAGAGACGGTGAATAGTACGAGAGGCCGAAAGGGAGCGAGAAAAAAAAGATTGAGATTCCTTTTTTTGTTATCTGAAGGCTTATATATAATTCTTAGTGTCGGTGGATGTCAGACATAAAATCATGATTATTATTTATAGGTAATTAAAGCTGATCATCTTGTAATGAAATTTACTAGTGAACAAATTGACAACAATCAGATTAAACGAATATAATTATTTAGAGGTTCGAAAATATTAACTAGCGGAGAAGATACAACAAATCTGATTTTATTTTATTTTTGTTATCATTGCCCTAGCGAAACTATTAATAGTTTGTTTGGATCGTGAAACTTGATGTCAGAATTGGAGGAGGAAGAAGGAATTTTATATTATTCATTATTCTATTAATTAAGGTTTATGTAAGCTGATCGTGTCTTTTAAAAAATGAAATATGTTAGGCATCACCATTTTTGTCATGACTAACAAGGCCAAATTGACGAAATCAGCCGATCTCAGGCCTGCTTAACAACCCCTCATTCAACACCATTTCTCTCATGCTTTCTTGTTTCCTTCTTCACTGATATAACTTAACGATAACTTTAATAATTGTTGAAGGACCAAATTATACCAAATAACAAGAACAAAAATCATAATTTAATTAGAATATAAATAGAATCCTATGAGTATTTCCCAACCATGATTGCAAATTAACTAAATATAAAATATTGGAATGGTTGCGTAAGGGTTATAATATTGTGGTTCGGAGGATTATAAAGGACTGTGGGTGCGGTTAGGTAGTGAGCTCCATTGTGCTAAGCCGACCAAAAGCAATATTATTGCCATAATTCATATGGAGTCTTCCAAGCCAAAGCCATCTGCTTATCTCAGACCCATCAACCATGACATATTGGCTTACGTATGCATGAAAATATGTTCTACAACGGTCAAACGGTGTTTTTCTTTTCTTCTATACGTAAATAGAAGTATTTTCTCAGTTGATTAGAATCCCCTTAAGGTAAAGAATATAATGTTTACGTATATTAGCGACAGAGAAATTTAAGAATATAATCTAAAATTTTAATCTCACGTTATAATTGGTTTCACTAAATCCGAAAAATCCTTATTGTTCTGAAGTGGACCTCTCGATTTAAAGAACTTTGGTTGCTTACATGTTGGACATATTTATGCATGAAATGAAAGTAACATTGACTTTTGGTGCTTGGAAAAAGAAATATTCTTTTCTCATTTATATCTACATGACCAATAAAATTAATTATATATTAAAATCTTTTCAATTCACTGAAATAAATATAATAAAAATCCCTTAGCCATATACCAGAAATTATTATAATCCTATGAATAATGTTGTTTTTAAATTCCAAATATAGATACCTAATTTTTGTCTTCATGAAGAGAAGGAAAACTCATGGACTTTATTTATTTTTTCAGTTATTACGTACAAATTTAGAGAATATTACGCACGACTTAAATATTGGTTTATAATGCCGAGATAATCATTAATTTCAACTGTAGCTTTATAGGATTAATATAATTGAAATTTAATTTGAAATCGTTGTCTTTTAATTAAAAAAACAAGATAGAAATAATTAAGTGAATAATAGAATATAATTATCAGCCCCCGACCCCCCAATCGTAATCAAAGGTTTCAATCTGAAAGCAACAATAATAAAAAAGGGATGATGCAAGCAAAGGCGTGAGTTTCTTATCCTCTGAATGATTGGCCGTCCTCTGTTGTCCCATTTCCAACAATGTAATAAATACAAACTCATGCGTTCTTATTACATGACATATAACCCAACCTTTGTCTTCTCCATCTTTTTATTGCCCCAGTGTAGTCATCTGACGAATCCTGCATCCTTGGGATTTGCTTGTAATTCCAAAACCCTCTGCTTCTCTAGGATTGTCATTATGAAATGAGGACCAGGAAATTAGAGATAAGATGCCTAATTATTTCAGCACCATCCATGCATTATTGGGTTTTCACTGTCCACACGATCCATCCAGCAAAATCTACAGTTATAATTATCAGGGGTTTGCTTTCTTTCTTAACCACGTTTTTATTCAAATTCTGCAATTTCGTTTTCAAGTAATTAGCATCATCCCTTGACGTAAATTCAATTTTAAAGAATTAACTTGACACTATATTGCAAAATATATAGCCTTTTTTATTGCCGTGAAAAGGCGCAGCTGCATTTTTCATGGCCTTTTCGCTAAAATTAAACGTTTATGGCCCCTCATGAAATTATTCTGAATTCTGACTGCGTGGCTGTTTGCGGTTTGTAAAGGTTATATCATTAAAGTTAAACCACAACAACCAAATCAATTTCACCAGTGTCCAATTAAACAAGTGACATTGACCTTCACCCCGTGTTATTTTTAACATTTACAACTATTAAATTTAAATAAAAGATCTGGAAAATTATTTTTATTAATTCTCTACCCCGCGAAGATGAAACAAAATATGGTGTACACAAACCACCCAACTTTTCCCTTCAAAACCAGAAAGATTCAATTAAATAAAACAGAAAGGTGCTAATCTAATCACCAGTCCCCACTAATAACCAATCCAAGCAGCCATTGATATTCGCAACAAATGAAACAAAATTTCAAATTTAATCAATTTCGTCCCCACGTGGCATCATCCACTGCCACTCGTTACATCACACGGTGATCTTATCACATATAAAATGAAATTCTAGGCCTGTAAACGAACCGAACGCACACGAACGGAGGTATGTTCATGTTCGTTCATTTAATAAATAGACGAACATAAACGAACACGAACATAAACGAACAAAATTTTTTTTGTTCATGTTCGTTTATTAAGGAATATAATTTGTTCATGTTCGTTCATTTAATAAATAAACGAACATAAACGAACACGAACATAAACGAACACGAACATAAATGAACACGAACATAAACGAACATAAACGTTGGAGACCCTACCTTCCATTGTTCTTTCATGAAAAATAGTCGACAATGCAAATCAACCAAATCTACAGTGATAAATAGCCTAAGAGTTGATTAGCAGTGATAAAATGTTTGAAGATATCATCAAATATTTCGATCGATCTTTTAAAGATATTAAATGATTCACACAACTTTAATTTAACGCTATAACATTTATCTTAGTGGTCCATGATTACATATGAACAATCATTTTCTCCTATTACACTCTTTTTCAAAAATGGCATAGAAACCTTTGTTTGTTTTCTGGTAAATTCTATATTTTTCTCTTTACTGATGCTCGTATACTTCCGATTGTTACCTTTATATTCTCATCTATTTCTAGAAAGAAGTATATGTTTTCTTGAGTTTTAGATGTGAAGATACCTGCAATAACTTTACATATCAACTATTAAGCCAAATAAAACAGAGAAAGAGATGAAAACAAACATGTAAAACTTCATATTGCACTATAATATAACTTGTTTTGAAGCTTTCAGCGATCGTCTCCACTCTCTAGTGAACACTAGGGTTTGGGAAAAAAAGGGGGAAATGAATATAGGTGCGAGGTGCCTCACAGGTTAACATATTGGATTTAATCTCCAAATAAAATTGGATTAATTATGGAGTTGGTCATCAGAATATCATATAAATTAATATTTTTAAGATACTTACAAATTGGTCACCAAAATTGATTTAAGAAGATTGGGTTAAACATAAATGAATGAACATAAACGAACATAATCGAACGAACATAAACGAACATAACCGAACGAACATAACCGAACGTTCACGAACGTAAATGAACGAACGAGACCTATGTTCATGTTCGTTCATTTAATTAAACGAACAAAAAATCTTGTTCATGTTCGTTCATTTAATAAATAAACGCACATAAACGAACTTCCCGCCGCACAGTTCATGAACGGTTCGCTGAACGTTCAGTTCATTTACATGCCTATGAAATTCCATTTAGAAAAGAACCGGCCGGCTCATCCTAAACAAAATTCTAAACTTTTCGATGGTTCCAAAACTCTACTATTTCCCTATTACATCGACCCCTTTTATGAGGCTCCATATTTACCTTTTTCTCCCTACAAAGTTCTGCTATTTACATTTTGGTCCCTCTTTCATCTTCTTTCTATAATCATCCACCGTTGATCTCCCTCCATCTTTACATGATTGAACAGGCGTTTGGGTTCTCATCGCTGAACATCTGAGGCGCGTGAAGAGGATGCCGCGGGTCCATCATATACCCCTGATTAACATAACCAGGATGAGACATGTACCCTTGATTCATGCTCATGTACCCCTGATTCACGTATCCGTACTCTTGATGAGGGTGATTCTGATACCCTTCAACCACATAACTCGAACTCGGTCCACCGTACACGTGTCCATCCGACCAATACATTGGCTGTGGAGGATACCCGTACCCATGATACTCCATCTTGTTCACTTCCACTTTCGTTTCACCACCGCCTTCTTTCTTCTCGCCTCCGGCAGCAGCAGCAACTTCTTTTCCTTTCTCTTTATTATCACCGCCGGCATCTTTCTTTTCGCCGGCATCTTTTTTCTCACCACCGTCGTCTTTCTTGGGCGGAACCACGTCGACACTACGTTTCAACTTCTCCTTGAGATAAGGAACGAGGTCTTTCACGTCCATTGTGCCCTTTACCGTTACTAAATCTTTGGCTCCGTCAACGCTCACGGATTCAACCCCTGTTTTAATAGATTTAATTAATTAAAATGCATCTTTAATTATCTCTTACTCTATTATTAATTAACACCACTACATCATCAACCGCTATTAATTTAAACTTAATTCAAATAAATGTTAATTAATTAACTTACCATGTACTTTCAAAATAATTTTTCGCATTTTGTGAATGCAGCCATCGCAATGTGTTCTAATCTTCAGAACCAATGTACTCTGCAAATCAAACATAAATAATCAAATTTAATTATACTAAATTCAAACCTGTTAAAACCTGAGTTAAAATTTTCAAACTTCGGCCTGCAAAAGGCGGTTTCCTTTGTGTGTGTGTAAATCTACCTCTTTCGGTGGTTTTTTCTCTTCTTTCTTCTCTTCTTTCTTCTCCTCGGGTTTCTTCTGAACGTTGGGTTTTTTGTCACCACCACCGCCAGCGGCGGCATCTTTCTTAGGCTGAGGAGAAATTAGTTCGACTTTCTTCTTCGTTTTCTCGGCCAACCTATCCCTGATTTTGGCCGGATCCACGTTGCCAATCACCGTTAACTTGTTGGCTTCACAATCAGTTTTCACATCTTCCACACCTTTAACCACCACCAACAAGTTCCGTGTTAGGTAATTTCAGTTGGATTATTAATTTAATTACATTTCTAATTAAATTTGAAAAAATTAGCACCGAAGTCAATCCTCATCCAATTCGCCGATTTTTACGGGGAAATTAGGCGAACAATTCACACGTACGAATTAAACCAATTTTTCTTAGTTTGAAAAACTCCAAAACGTATCTGCCATTATGTTAATCAATTAACTAAAACCAATTACCTTCATAATGTTTAATCGAACGTTTAATCTTCTTGGCACAACCTTCGCAATGCATATCAATCTTGTAGACGGCGGTAACCTTGCCGTCGTCTTTCTTAGCGCCGGCCTCGGCGGCGGGCTTCTTCTCGGCTTCAGGCTTAGCTCCTTCTTTCTTCTGGAAAACAATAAATAAAACATAAATTAAGGCCCAAATAATCCTAAATCATTGAAGATTTGAACGGAAAAGAACAGAGAAAATGTTGAATAAAGGAAATAGCGACTAACCTCACCCATTACTTGACTGTAATTTTATAATTACAAAAATATTTTGGTTAACGAGAGATCTCAGACGAATAACGAATAGCTATTTGAACTTCGAATAGGTAACCTGAAGGCAAAGAAGCGTATATAAAGAGAGAGGGGTATGTATGTATGTATGTATGTATGTAGGTATGTAGGTACGTATGATGGTCATTGATGTAAGTATGTTATATGTGGTGGTTGGAGGAAATATATGATGGTTCTGATGGGGTTCGGATTATGTAAGGGATGAGTCAGAAAAGGTGGGCTAACTGGTTTTATGTGCGTGCTGTGTGTGTGTGTTTTTTTTATAATCTACATTTTTTATGCAAATATAAACAGAGAAGTTAATTTTATTAAAAAGTAAAAATATTTAAAATTATAATGAAATTTTAAAATTAAACATATAATTAAAATATATTTTTATAATCATTGGGATAATAGAATTACCACTCGAGATTATTTAAAGATTATGTAAGGAAAAAAAATTAAAACTCATCCAAACAATTTGATTAAAATACAAATGTAAATAAATCTTATTGTATCGAAAAACGAACCACAACAGAAAATTAAACTATTGAAATACCATCGACAACCGCAAATAAAAAAGAGTACTTGAAAAATTATCATCGAACACAAATCGTGTATCCAAGTCCAATTCAATGGTCCAAAGTAAAAAAGATAAAATGATAACAAATTAGCGTCATCTTGGTCAGTCAATGAGACTTCAAATCCAACCCTAACAAGATCAAACAAACAAAAACATGCCATGAAGGCGAAAGAAAATATCCCCAAAGACAAAAAAAAAATAGCCATAAATGTAGAATTATTAGAAACTAATAAAAACACAAAAGACATAAATATGCATATAAAAAATAAATGAGAAGCAAATAATACATGCAGTAGACAATTAACACTAAACTTAGTGTCATTGTCTATCGAATCAAAATGAAAATAAAAATAAAAATAAAAACGACGACTATAAGGAAAAAAAAAAGATGTTAGGATTTTGCAATTAGCATTACTTTTTTAATCCTTTAAAATTCATAATCTACATTAGAAGTAATTGAACTTTAAACATTATATTCATATTATTAAATTTTTAAACCTATCAAGCAATTTCAATGATTAAAGGGAGTATTATTCTCTCTAAAGGTCTTGAGTTCAAGCCGCTACATCTGCACATATATTTTCAATGACAAAAATAAAGAACAAATAAATATTATCTTATAATCACACCAACTATTTAAAAGAATTATTGAATTTTTAATTAGTTCAATAATAATATTTAATTTTAATTTCAATCAAATTATCAAATTGCTAATTTGATAATAAAATACAAATGTGATGTTAATTACTCAAAACATCAATTATCACACATATTTTTTTATAAAAATATAATATAAATATTATAAAATTATATCATTAAATAAATTAAATTAATTTTAACTACAATTTAACACATATATTATTTTAGTTAAAATTATAATAATATCTTAAATTGGTTAATGGTTAGGTGTTAATCTTTTCTTCCCGAGGTCTATGGTCCTAAATCTCCTCAAGTACGTTTTACATTTTTTCCCTCGTTTTTCCTCTAATAAAATGATGCTAATTTAAACATAAAAATAGTCACACTAAAATTATGTTGTTATGCTTTAGCATCTACGTCAACAACTATCATCCACGTAATCATATTGTTATTGAGTTAATGATTCATAAATATATGATAAAAATTTAATATTATATTGAAGTAATTGAAAATTTTATAGGATGAATGATATAATGCTTAGAATTTAATGGCATCTAGTGTATTTACGATTTTTTAAAATTAATTTAAAGTATAAAATATGTTAGGTCACTAAATTATATTTAAACAATTTTTTTAGTTATTAAATTTTTAAAAAAATTACAATAATCATTAAATTTATCTGATTAGTACAAAATAGTCATCATAATATTAAAATGATTATAAATTTTGATAAATTTAAAGACTATTTATGAATAATTTGATAAATTTATGTTATTTTGTGACAGGGTCGTGGTTGTGGGGCGCAAACTGCGCGACCGCGCAGGCCCCCCAAAAGATGGGGCTCCAAAAAAAATATATAGCGGTGTTTTATCAATAAACACCATTATAGATAGACTTATTGCGACGTTTTTTCAAAAAACATCATTATTATTGCGGTTTTATTGATATACGTCATTATAGATGGATTTATTGCGGCGTTTGTCAAGAAAACGACACTATTATTGCCCCAAAATCGAATATATCTATAAAATAATGACCCCTTTATACGAATTTGTACAGGACCTCCGAAAACCCTGTCACGACCTTGTTTTGTGACACCATAATAATTATTTTATAATTTTTAAAAATTTAGTGACAAAAAATTATCTCAACATCATTCAGCGACTTCTTGTATATTTTACCCTAATTTGAAATACTTTTGTTCTTGTTTTGCCGCCGCATTAGACTAATGGTTGTGGAGAAAACGACCAAACCCATGTAGATGGAGCGAAAAGACTTTAATATCCCTCTAAATATTATATTTAAATTATTGCGTGTGCGTAACTTTTGGATTTCGCCATGAGTTCCACTTTTGGGAACGACACTGAACTGTTGTGGGTGATTTAAAATTTGGAAGTCAAGGTTGCAACGTTTTACCGGGTCCGTACGAACCTACAGTATTCAAAATTCAAGAGCTGGTTTTAGTTCCTACTTAAAGTTCATTAACTACCCGTGTCCAATTTGGTTTGACCTCACTCCTAGAAATAGTGTTTATTCTAACTATTATAATTACGAGCCAATTGTTTCTTAAACCAATTAGGTCATATGTGACGGTTAAGATAGTGGTGAAAGTGCAAGACATGTAGGAATTAGGGTTTTGTGATTTAACATTTATAATAGATTTTATGTTTTTTAATATAGTGAAATTTTCTTCCATTTGGCCGTGATTTTTTCATTTTGAGTTTTTCACATAAATCTTAATGTATTTTAATTTTCTATTTGATCGTTATTCATTTCTCATTATCATTCTGGTAACTATAACATTAACATATTTTTATATTGAATAAAACAAACAACACTTACAATTTTAATATATATCAAAAATAAATTATATAGTATAAATTTTTTACACATAAACACTACGATGAATGTGAAAAACAAATTATTATATATGTGAAGATTGTTGTTTTTCCCCCTTCCCAAGGCTTTTATATAGATATCTCTATCAACAATGATGTACTAACAAGATATTTAGACAATACTGTTGATAGGTCTAAGTAGAATACCGGTGCGAAATCTAAAAACTTAATTATTAGCTTTGTTTAGATTATCTGTCTACATATAACTATAATGATCATATATCTGTATCTTTAAAAAGAACCACTGAAAATCTTTCTCAATTACGGGTAATAGATAAATTGTTTATCAATCGCGACTTTTCATCTAAATTAAAAGAGATAAATTATCTACGATTAACGAGTCATATTGATTCACATCACACACATCTACATGACGTATACATTATCAATAAGATATTTTTATGCAAACATCAATATCATAGCCCCGATGCATGGTGCTGTCCATTTATAGAGAGAGAAAAAAGAAGAAGGTGATTTAGAAACAAAACAATATCAACGATGGAAACAACCACAATGATGAACCCTAAATCCTAAATCTTACTGCGTTGAATTGGGGAATGCCGATTACAACAGATAGAGGTTAGTCTGGGCTGCAAATATTTGACCGCGACTGAATTGATATGGGCAACAATGCGTCCTTATCTTCGCATCTCAATGTGCTCCAACCCATCCCAACCCAACCCAACCAGGCCCCGCCATTTGTTTTACAAGATAAGCCCCGGAAAAGAAAAAGCTAACGCGGGTCCGGTCCCCCCAATGCTGAAATTTGTCCATTTTAACGGAAAATCACGGCTAAGAAAGAAACTTCCCTCGAAATATCCTACAGGGAATTCCGAGGACTATTACGACAAGAAAAACAAAATTCTGTGTTTTTCTTGTAACTGTTTGCCTTTGTAACGATGGAATCTAAAAGGAAATTCATGCATCCTTGTTTAATTCTTGGGTTCGCATTTCACTTTCAGAAAACAATACTTTTCCATTAAGGAGTTGCATTACTTCCAAATTATGAATGGTAAACATGCAATTTCCCCCCTAAGCTGACTATTTGCTTCGATGCTTTCCATAAACCAAACAAAGTGCATTTAATGCAGTAATATCATAGTCTATAATATATCGCATCATGAGAGTTTACTTCTCTTTATTTATGATCGAATATATATATTTGGTATTGAATGTATATATATTATTATTTTTCTTGTTTTCTAATATTATGTTTTTTATTGATTTTATTTTAAATAAGAATATATGTTCTTGTGACACATTTTTCTTTCTTCTTATGATATGTGTTTTATTTGTTCGTGTGACACGATTCTTATGATTTTTGATATATTTTTTATATATTTTTTCAGTCGTTTTGGTGTTCGTACAAAGACTTTATAACATTTATTTTTAAAGGAAAATTAAATGAAGAATATATAATTATTTAGAACGAATAATCCGATCGTCAAATATAATTAAGATTTAATGGAAATTTCATTTGATGTTGATTTACAACCTTCCCTATAAATGCCTAACCCCTTTGTAAAAGCAAAATAAACAAGAGACCTACTTGCATCGCATTCAATTCAATGTTCCTCATCCAAGTAGATGTACTAATTACTACTCCCACTTGATTTTTTTGTTGTCCTACCGGTTCTAAGGTTTTACCCTAATTAATTTGGATTAAACCGCGTCGCACACTTAATTTTGGTGATGAGTCCCCTAGCATGGATTTTTTGCATACACAAAAACTTAAATTTGAGATATTGCTTAAGCGGAATCAAACTGCTTACTACTTAAACCAACCCCTATTGGTACTCCCACTTGATATTTATTTCATCATATAAGCTTCAATTTTATTAATTGCATATCTAACTATTTTTGGCAATTGTAACTATCACACATTCAATGTTTCCTTTTTCGTTCCAACCCCCAACTTAATTTTGGTGATGAGTCCCCTAGTATGGATTTTTTGCATACACAATAACTTAAATTTGAGATATTGCTTAAGCGGAATCAAACTGCTTACTACTTAAACCAACCCCTATTGATACTCCCACTTGATATTTATTTCATCATATAAGCTTCAATTTTATTAATTGCATATCTAACTATTTTTGGCAATTGTAACTATCGCACATTCAATGTTTCCATTCAATGTTTCCTTTTTCGTTCCAACCCCCAACTTAATTCAGAGAATTATGATATTCACGTAGGGTTTCGATATCATTTTATTTTTCAAAACATTACTAAATTCCATTTTGGCGGCTTATTTTATCAATTAAAATATATAAATTAGCTCCCAACGTTTATTGAAGCGGAATCAAATTGCTTACTACTTAAACCAACCCCTATTGGTACTCCCACTTGATATTTATTTCATCATATAAGCTTCAATTTTATTAATTGCATATCTAACTATTTTTGGCAATTGTAACTATCGCACATTCAATGTTTCCATTCAATGTTTCCTTTTTCGTTCCAACCCCCAACTTAATTCAGAGAATTATGATATTCACGTAGGGTTTCGATATCATTTTATTTTTCAAAACATTTACTAAATTCCATTTTGGCGGCTTATTTTATCAATTAAAATATATAAATTAGCTCCCAACGTTTATTGAAGCGGAATCAAACTGCTTACTACTTAAACCAACCCCTATTGGTACTCCCACTTGATATTTATTTCATCATATAAGCTTCAATTTTATTAATTGCATATCTAACTATTTTTGGCAATTGTAACTATCGCACATTCAATGTTTCCATTCAATGTTTCCTTTTTCGTTCCAACCCCCAACTTAATTCATAGAATTATGATATTCACGTAGGGTTTCGATATCATTTTATTTTTCAAAACATTTACTAAATTCCATTTTGGCGGCTTATTTTATCAATTAAAATATATAAATTAGCTCCCAACGTTTATTGAAATGATCATTTTAGTTTTATTTTTTTATATTATTTTGACCAAAACATTTCATTTTATGGTAAAAAGATCTTAACGTTTGACCAAATAGTCACATTGACATTTATTTATTTTTAGAATATTTTAACCCTCACTGTTTTATTTTAGAGTAAAAAGACTTTGATTTTGGAGCGTTAATTGTTTGTTAATTAAAGGTTTCCATTTATAGAAGGACATTTTTGTTCCAAAATGAAACGTTATGGGTCAAAATGCTCCCAAAAAAAAGAATAGGAACTAAAGCGACTGTTTTGTCAAACGTTAGGAGCTTTTTTTAACATTATGCCTAAAACTTTTATATTATTATTTAAAGATATAATGTTAAAATATATTCTCAATATTTGATCGAATAATGTTTTTAATTTTTATTCTTTTTTTAAAAATATTTTAACTAAAAAATGAAATATTAACTTTTTTTTTTAAATGTTGAGTACAAATTCTGATAACTGAAATTTATGAAAATTTCAAGGCTATAAACTGAAATCTATGATAAGTTTGGGCAGTCTAAAGCCTAATAATGTGGGTTGACATTGGGCTGATTGAAGCCTATATTTCGAAAACTAAGTCAAACCCAATAAAGAAACCACGCTATTGCAGTACATGCATCTTTTCATTATTTCTCAACTCCTTTATATTTTTATCTAACATTTTTTCTCTCAAAATATTTTCTTTAGAAAAATAAAATTATAAATATATTTTATAATTTTATATGACATTTGATTTATTAAATAATATTAAAATATGAAAAAATATATGTATATTTTATATAATTAGAGAAAGTTATTAAACTGGATCAATCCGCACCATAGCATTATAAATGTTGACAATTAAATCTGAACAAAAACTCAAATATTCTACTGGAATAAAATTTAATAAACTCGTCTCAACTAAATGTAAATCAAATAAAATTTGAATCTTAAAATAAGACTCGTTGACTAACTCAAATTCTCTTTGACTCAACTCGATTCATATTCATTGTTATTTCCTCCGTGTGAATAACATATTCCTAATATATCGATCTTGATTTAAATGATTAGATACAATGGTTGATTTAATTAAGCTTCATTGAAAATGATTAATTACCCTTAAAACATAAACAAGGAAGGACCAAAGGGTGTTGGATATAGTTGCATACCTAAAACTTTTAAATCCCTGTATAGATGAAGTAATTTTTTTTATATTTTTTATTAATAATTTAATTTTATAGCATTAACATTTTATAATTTCATATTCCAAAATTTTTATTATAATATTTTAACTTTATATCTCTAACATAAAATTTTATTTATGCCTTTATTCCAAAGATTGAAAGCGGTCCATATCATCACATTCACACATCTCTCAAGATTCCCAAATTGACGGAATCGAAGTCGCTTAAGTTAGACAAGTTATACCGACTGCAAGGGGAGGCTTCAAGTTACGTTCTGCAATCTCTTGATGCCTAATTGCTTGTTTTCTTTACATCTCTGGATTTAGTAATATATATATATATATATATATATATACCATAAATTATTAACCTATAGTATCTATTCTTTTTATCTTTGTTTCTTCAGCCTTTTCTTTATTAATTTATTTTCGTTTTTTAAGATTTTATAAATTTAACCCTTAAACATAATTTTTTTTTTATAAATTCGACCCTTAAACATAAAATTTTACATTTGTTCACGAAGAAAGGGCAAGCAAACAAAAGAATACCCCACTCGGTCACTTCAAGTTCAAACATTCCATTCATGTGGGAAAACGCAACTACGCAAGTAAGAAGAAGCTTCAGAGTTTGGCTCCTGGCTCTGTGAAGAAAAGAAAAATGGTGTCCCCACTTTGATGTTTCAACCATGCTTACTCCACAGTGTAAAAGTGTTTCAATAATTCCAAACCCCCTTTTCTAGCACTATGCTTTTCGTGAAGCCCAAGTTTCCTACAAAACTTCAACACTTTTTGCCTGAATCAATTGCTGCTTCAAGTTTTCACTTCATCCTTCATCTCTAGTTAGATTCTTAAAAGGACATTGTGTTGAATCCAAGATGGCACCCACAAGTAATCCAACATTCAAGTTTATGTTCTTATTTTCAATGATGCCCATTCTTCCTATCTTAGCCATTTTGTCAGCTACTTTATTAGCCCCTCTGTGTGTGTGTTGTAGAGTAACCGTCCAGTCTCTGCTTAGGAGTCCGAAAATGTTGTCTAGCAGAGTGTTCGAAGGGTATAGGTTCATCCCCTGCTTAGAAGTTTATGTTCTTATTGATGTAATAAAAAGTCATTATCTTTTTTCTTGCTGTGTGTGTTAACATGAATTTACTAACTGCCTTTGGTCTGGTTTGGTTTGGTTTGGTTTGTCTTCAACTCTTTTCAATAAATTACAAAGGGTTAAGCTTAGGTTCCCTTTTAGTCACTTTGGGCACATGCATTAAAACCTTTGGTTAGGTCAACTTTTGGTGAAGAATACTATGTAAAATTTAGACCCGTTTACTATTAGTTTAGTTTTTGAAAGTTGATAGTATGTGTTCCAACTTTGAAGATACATTGTTAAAAATGGTCCATTGACTATAAAATGTTGTTTTATTGACTCTTCTGACTATTAAAAGTTACAAAATAATCATTTGACTATAGAACATCACTTTGTTGAATCTATCGACTATAAAAAAGTTACAAAAATGTTCACCCGACTATTTATATATTTCAAACTCATCATTTTTTGTTACAAAATTGATATCAATCTGAGATATGTTAAAATCTGATCACTTTGATGATAAAGAAATTATTGTTCTTATGAGAATTATCTTTAAATAAATATTACTTTGTACTTACCTTATATTAATAAAAAACACTTTTTTAATCGCATACGAAATTTAGTTTTAATAAATAAGATAAGTAGGGTGAAACATATCCTTCAAGGTATAGTAAAAATATTAATTCTTATTTTAATAGCTAAAAGAGCACGAGATTAAGACATTAACAAGACTTTAAAATTCCATTTAGATAGAATAACTTTTGTATACACAAATCTCTCCTTTATTTATTCTCCCTACCCAATAATAGCTACTCAAAATAAAGAAAATAAAATCAAAGAAGAACAGCTTACAGAAATAAAAGTTAAATTAGATCAAAGGTCACTAAATTATGCTCAAATAACTATTTTTTATCGTTGAACTTTTAAAAATTTTAAAATAATCATTTTATTATTTAATAAAATAAAATAATCATTATTTTATAATAATTCAATAAAATAAAATGATCATTTTATAAATTTTAAAAATTCCTTGACCAAACTAATCATTTCATCATAATTTAATGACCGTTTATGTACTTCACTAAAAATAAATTTCCAATCTTCGTTCAAAGCTCTTCAAGCCTTGAAAGTTGAAACCACCCTTGGGCTCCATTTTCCATAATAAATCATTTTCCTTTTTTTTATTACAATAATAGAATCGGATATAGTTTGGAAGCTACTATTACAGATTGTCCTCATTGAATTTTTCTTAATGTCCAGTACCCATTTTTCATTAAGGTCGGTTATTTTATGGGTTTCTCTCAAAACCCTCAAATTTTCACTAATTTTTTAATTTTGATTTTTCGGTTTGGTTTGTTTAGGTATGGTAAGTGGTACTAACCATATTCAAAACCATAACCAACATGAAAATGGGGAGAAAAACCCAACAAAGGGAGGAGCTTCTAGGTCGTGGGGCACCACCGTTTCGGGTCAATCCGTTTCGACCAGTGGTAGTGTTGGCTCTCCCTCCAGCCGGAGCGAGCAAGCTTTGGCTACACCAGCTAGTGACAATACTTTCTTAAGAATGAACCATCTAGATATTCACCGGGATGATGCTGGATCTCAAGGTGCTGTTGGGTGAGTTTTACTTTCCTTTTTGGATACCCTTTTAGCTTGAATTTATGATAATTCTGTTTAATGCTTGATTCAATTGTGAGTTTTTGAAGAAAGGGCTTAGGGTCTACAATATATTGAAGAGATTTGTTTTGTTTATGCTTGAATTGGTAAATTTTCCACATCATGCTATAATTCAACATTGTTTGTGGGCTAAATAGCAAAGATTGTTCGAATTGGTTAATGTTTTGATTATTAGGTAGATGTGGCCAGGGATGGACCGAGTGGAGAACCCCAAAAATTTTCAAATTCTCCTATATTTTAGATTTTAGATTTTTTATTTGTATTTTCTATTGACAATATGTTTTCGCCCCCTAAAATTTTATAAATTCACTCCGACTTAAAATCTTGCGTCCGTCCCTGGATGCTGGCATTTAGGTTGTCTATGGCTCTTTACCATGGAAGACTAACAAAATATGCTGATATTGCCTGGCCATACAACGTTATTATAATCCTAGGGTATTCCATGAATTTAATTGATTGCCAGTTTCGTTTGCAGTGGTAAAAAGAAGAAGAGAGGACAATGTGCACTTGGAGGCGATAAGAGCGGCAGAGGACTCCGCCAATTTAGCATGAAAGGTTTTGTCTTCTCTTTTCTCTTTTCGTTACCTTTCAAAGTGTGTGATTCGTGGTTAATGACTGATTGCATTGAAAGCCCAATCAGATATTCTTTCCTGTGAAAAATGTACTACATGTGCTTGTTTTTCTTGCCGTGGACATTTTGGATGTGTTAGCAGTTGTGGCTTAACTAGCTGGTATCTTGTTTGAATTGTCTTTGTTTTCATCCAGTTTGTGAAAAAGTGGAAAGCAAGGGAAGAACCACGTACAATGAGGTCAGTTTGTCTTTCCTTCATGTTTGTTTCTTAATGGTTTACAGTAGTTCTTATTTCCGTGTTTATATGATCCATCTATTCTGGCAAAGTGACCTGAATTGCCCTGAATTCATTCTGTGTTACATGACTTATTCAAAGGCTAAATATTTTTTTTTCTTTGATACTGAATTAAGGGACTGCGCATTTAGATTGTTGGGTAACCATGATCCGAACTAGTTGTTTTTGGCACTTTAGTTTTGTGGGTCAGGGTTTGCATGCCTTAACTCATCATTGCAAGATTATGATATTAAGATATTGAACTTTTGCTATATCATCCCAACATCACCCTGTAGAATGCTCTTAATGCATATGATATATCAATGAAGAGTAGACCTGACAAATTGATACCATGGTGATTCCCTTCTCATCAACCCAGTGTTCTACTCTGATTGCTTACTGATCTATAGTGACAAGAATATCTCTTGATTAAGTAGTTTTTGTCATTTTTAAGATTCAACCAAGTTCCATTAGGATGCATATTTCTTGTACCCTTTCAAACTTTCAAGCAGAATGGTGCTGCTTTCATTGGTTTGGAGAATTACTACTTTGTCTGGTTAGGGAGTTGCAAGTTCTGTTGCTTCTCTCCTGACTCGGTAACATTCATTGGTTGCTCTATCTTTTACCTATCAATGGCTTATGTCTCTTTATCTAAGAGTGAAAGTGATTCCAGGTAGCAGATGAACTTGTAGCTGAATTTGCTGATCCTGGCAATGGTGTAGATTCACCAGATCAGGTTTGCAATTCTTATTTCAGGCCAATATTATATTCCTTGATGTGCATGCTTTCATCTTTTACCCTAAGAGAGTTAAATTAATGATACTGACTCTTTTTTCTTTTAATCTAACAGCAGCAATATGATGAGAAAAACATCCGTCGAAGGGTTTATGATGCCCTGAATGTTCTAATGGCAATGGACATAATATCCAAGGAAAAAAAGGAAATACAGTGGAAGGGACTTCCATGTACTAGCGTTGGTGATATCGAAGAATTAAAGGTGACAATACAGCTCCATTTTTGTTTCTTTTTATGTTTTGATCTGCCATATTTTTAAGGATCTAATATCTAGCTTAATGAGATATTCAAATGTGAAAACAGTCTGAACGACTTGGACTGAGAAACAGGATTGATAAAAAGGTTGCCTATTTGCATGAATTGGAGGAACAGGTAAGAATAGCACACATTTAAAATTTCACATGTATGTAAAATTGGTCTCTGCATTCAATTAGGTTCAGAGTTTTATTTTTTGCTATTCATCAAGTTGCTGCGTGTAGGCAGAGATCTTTTTGAGTACATTAAGTTCTACTTGCCCCCTTTGTTTGGCAGCATTTGATCATGTACTTGTTTTTATTCTCAGTTTGTAGGTCTTCAGAATCTGATTCAACGAAATGAGCAACTATACAGCCCAGGGAATGCTTCCAGCGGGGGCGTGGCCTTACCTTTTATCCTGGTGCAGGTTTGTTATCTTCTCAAACCTCTCATTTTTGCAAATGTGGCTAATATGCTATTATGGAGCATCAGCGTGCTCAATAGATACAAAGTGTGTTTTTATGGTTATTTGAAGTCTTCCATAAATCTTGAGATGTCTTAATTTGCTTCTCTTGTCATCTTGATATTGTAGACATGCCCTCATGCAACTGTTGAGGTAGAAATGTCGGAAGATATGCAGCTGGTACATTTTGACTTTAATAGGTAAGAATTTTTTAGCTATAATCATAACTTAGTGTAGGACAAGTATGTTGTCCCATTTTTTATGGTAAACCATGGAAAGCCAAAGACAGAGAAAAGACCTAGTCTTGAGCATAGGAGTAACTTCTAGAGTTGATAGCAACCTATCGACCAAGTGCTGAAATCATCTTTTGATTCTTTGCTTATTGTTCTCCCTTTTCATCTCATGGTGTTCTATTTTACAGCACTCCATTTGAGCTCCATGATGATAATTATGTTCTGAAGGCAATGAAATTCTGCGATAGACCACAGAATGATGAACTGGCACACAATTTTTCTGTGGACGGTGAAGGTTCTAGCATGTCCGCAATTTACCAACAACAGATCCTTCACCGAGGACAAGCACACCGGGTAGGCATCCTACATTCCCGCCTCTTCCCAGAATACTGAAAGCGCATATTAAGCATGGACATTGACAGTTCAGTTTCATGTTCAACACCATGAGCAATCTATTTGTACATTGTGTAAAGTAATTTTCCAGAAGAGTGCCCTGTAAGATTATCTTCACCTCATAATATGTTACCCACGTTAAGCCTGAGTAGCCTCTTTGCTCTAAGGCTTTTGAAGGTGAATCTTTGCTGGCAAGTCTTAAGTTTACAACTTCATAATTTGCTAATGTATTTGTTTTATTCCATTTCCCCTTGTTATTCCCCCTACTGCAGCAGAAATCAGCTTATGTAAAAGATCGATTGTTCTCTGCATAAAGAATCTTATAGAATCCACTGGATTTTAATCTCTGCATATAGATTGTTCTCTTTTTGCTAATTTATTGTAACAAGGCACATATTTGGTCCATGAATTCCAGTAAAGTAAGATTCAAGTATTATTCAGGAGAATAAAATAAAGGGTGAAAATTAAGAGAAAATATTCTTAAATGATTTGTATAACAATTTTTAGCAGAAAAGGATCATAAAAAGTTGATTCCAAACTTGTAATGATCTAATTATGCTTAAATTCAATTTGGGCTAAATTTTAAATGTTTTTATATTTCACACTGCTTTTATAACTAGAAAGTTTAGACCACTGAGCAGAAAGCCATCAACCTATCATTTTTCTTTGCTCTCTTTTGTTGATGGTTATTCTCTTGGCCTAATATCTGTCCACCATCATATCTAATTGCTCTATCTCCCATACCGTCTATAAGAGTGGTAGATGGAAAACAACATAAGAGTGGTAGCAGATGGACAATCATGTTGTTGTCCACGGATCCATGTTATGTTTAGGGTAAGTGTATCTTGAAATATGAATTTTCTTCTATTAGTTATTTGTTTTATTGATTGTGTTCATCTTATGATTTTATTTGTGTCTACCCACATATAAAAATTATGTTGTTAATATATGTGTACCTAACCTCAAAAAGAATTTCTGGATTCGTAACTATCCACGACTCCTAATACACCATTCGGTTTCTTGCTAAAAAATGTTTATAAACCTACATTAGATCTTTCTGCATCGTGTCATCTAGCAGCATTGAACATAAAGCAGTTAAAATTTATAAATGCAACAATTAACATGCTCCATTTCTTTAAAAGATAATGAGAATAACCAGCATATCAGAAGCCTGTCTGTTGGTTTGTGTACAGTCTTGAAGGTTTTGGTTGGTGTATAGAAAGCCTGTTGTCCTGTTTTGTCTCCATGCCTTGATGCTGTCCATCTAGATGGAGGATAGTTAATATTTTTTACATGTTGGGCAGTCAGTTCTTGTCTTTAAATACACTTTTGTTAGATGAAAAATGATAGTGGGAAACTCCAAACCCTCTTTCCTTCCTAGTGGAGCATTAGGTACTTGAAAATCACAGGCTTGCCTCCTTGACATCAAAGTTATCTCTCTTTTATTAGGTATAATTTTAGAAAAAAATTGTTCTCACATATAATCTTTTGGAGTCTCCTGTTTGTAATAATCATAACCCACCATGGAGTAGTTGAGTAGTGTTTTAGATATATGAATATGTTTGAGACAGACACTGTCTGTCTTCTTGTTTTTAGTCATTACCATTTCCAATGTAGACAAAGGAACAAGCGTTGCAGAGTGTCATCTTCCAATATACCCAGAAGGAAAGAGAAAAGAAGGCTCTCAGGCTCAGCACTTGAAAACAAAGACCACCATCAAAAGTACCATTCCACAGCAAAAGGTTCCACTAAAGGCCACTAACATCCTTATATATATATATATAAAAGATCCTTTTACACAATTAAAAAAATCTTTTAGTTTTACACAAATTTAGGATAGTTGGATGAGTGAAAATAGATGACTGTGTTTAACAGTAAGAAATGAGAAGATATTTACCGGAAAAAAAAACAAGTCAATATCATTCATCTATTTTCATTTATCCAACGTTCCTAAATCTGTGTAAAACTAAAGAGTTTTACATTGTATAAGTAGATCCTAACCCATATATATATATATATATATATATATGTATATATTTATCATTTTAACAAAACAAGAGATTAGGTTGAGGGCTCCACAATGCTGTTATAGTATCACATGTTGGGATGAAGAGGCCATGAACCAACACCATCATCTCTTCATTTTCCCCATCCAAATTTCCTTTTTCCTCTCACGCCTGTGCACTAACTTAGGCTGAAGCATGACTATCATAATCCTTGGAAAGATCCATGAAGATTGACATATAAGGTTAAAAGAAAGAAAAGAAAAGAAAAGAAAAAGATAATGCACATATATTTTATATCAAATCATTCAATCCAGAATAAACAGCCAAAAAATCTTAAGGTGTATATGGGATATACTCCTTTTTCTATTATAATTCTTGAAGTTAAGCTTCTCTCTCCTCGTCATCTTTAGGTTTTGCTGAAGAACTTAAGTCTGATGTCATTCCAACAACTTGACTATGAGTAAACCTTTGTAATTGTATCATGCGGGCATAGCACCCATCAGGATAATTTTTAAGTAAATGTGAATGGGATCCTTTCTCTGCAACTTTCCCATCATCAATCACTGCAATTACATGAGCATTTCGGATTGTCGACAACCGATGAGCAACCACAATTGTGGTTTTCCCAGAGCAGGCGCGGTCTAGTGCCTCTTGGACTGATCTCTCAGACTCAGCATCAAGGGCACTTGTTGCCTCATCGAGCAGCATAAGCTCTGCCTTCCTCACTAGAGCCCTCGCAATGGCAATTCTTTGTTTTTGGCCCCCGGAAAGTTGAACTCCTCTCTCCCCGACAAATGTTTTGTAACCGTCGGGCAATGAAGATATGAACTTGTGCGCATTGGCTAGTGTAGCTGCCTCGATGATTTCGGCCTCAGTTGCCGCCTCATGTCCATAGGCAATGTTTTCGTAGATGGTAGAAGCAAAGAGGCATGGTTCTTGTGGAACAATTGCAATGTGTTTTCTCAAGGATTTGAGGTTGTATTTCCTAATGTCCTTTCCATCGATCAAAACACGGCCAGATGCTGGCTCATAGAATCTCTGAATAAGGGCAATGACCGAGCTCTTACCACATCCACTTGGACCAACAAGGGCAAGAGTTTTTCCAGCACGGACACGGAGATTAAAGTCACGGAAGATTAGGACATCAGGACGTGAGGGGTAAGAGAAGTCAACATGCTTTAGTTCAACTTCTCCGCGAAGGCGGTCTGGAACTTGTGTGGCATCACGGTCATCAGGCTCTATCTCAGTTTTACGGTCAAGAAGATCAAAGACTGACCGCATGGCTCGACCTCCCTTGATGAAGTCAGGAGCCAGGGTCAATGTTTCAGCTGCGCCATTAGCGGAGACCATGAGAACCATAAAGACCCGGATAGTCTTTGAAAAATCAGATATCCCATGCTTCACAAGCCAGGAAGCATACCAAAGACCAAGGGCATAAGAAGCATATAGTGAAAACTGAGCTACCCCAAATCCACTTCCTGCAATTTGTCCCTTCCAGAAGCAGCGCTTCAATGGCGTTTGAAGGCTTGAAGAGAATAGACCAACAATTTTGTTCTCTGAATTGAAGGCGGCAACAGTTCTTATATTGGCAATGGCCTCTCCGGCTAGTTGTGTAGCCTTTGCATGAGCAGCTTCTAAATCTCCTGAGAAACCTTTCATAAACATTTTCTGTTGAAAATCCAACAAATACAGTAAATGAATTGATATTAAATTATGGAGTTGTGAATCATATTAGCTCAAGAAGCAGATAGGTATTAGTTTAGAATACAATTAAAATAACTAAAAAAACTCTCACATAACAACAATAGTTTCAAAATTAACTTGAGATCTTCTTTAATTGTTGGGAAGCATACTTGATGATAGTATGCTTGTGCAATTGGATCAGTTTCAGAACAAACCTGCAAAACAGTTGCTGCTACAACCACAGGAAAGACTGCAATGAGGACAAGGGCAAGGCGCCACTGCAAAACAAATCCCGCAGTGCAGGCAACTAACATGAGAGCTGTGTTCTGCACAATAACTGAAATGCGGTCTCCTATGGCTGATCGGACATTGTTGGCATCAAGAGCCAGCCTTCCTGAAATCCGAGCACTCTCATTTTCCTCTTGATCAAACCATGCCATTTCATTTTTCAGCACTGCTGTCAGCATCTTCTCTCTCACTCGTTTTGTGAGATTTTCTCCCACAATATCCCAGAAAAAATGCTGTAGTGTGTTGAAGAGAAGGGCAGCTGACGAAAGTCCAATCAATAAATAGCAGTATTTCCCAATTTCTCTTTTCATGTAAGCATGGTCCGGGTTGTAGTAGACACTGAGGACAGCACTTAGAACATATGCAAAGAAAGCACTCAGGGATCCACAGACGACGGAACCTATAGAACCAACCAAAGCATAAACCCATTCAGGAGAATTCATTTTCGCAAGGCGCCAAAAGGAACTAGCTTGCTCCTTGAAGACGAGCTTTTCCATTCGGTAATTAGGGTGTGAGGCCTCAAGGGAAAGACTAAAATCAGAAGTAGAGAAGTCAGAAAGCCTCCGCGAATACGGTGATCGGCCATATGATGAATTCCGAGCTATAATTGGTGAGCTTACTGAGTTCCGGGCACTAGAAGGCCTGCAGATGAACCATTATAACAGATCTCAAATTAACAGGTAGCTCTAGGTTTAAAAAATGTAAACTGTTTTTCAAGATGTTAACAAACACATCCAGACTTGCAGAAACTACCTTGCACTACTTTTTCGAGCATTGTTTAGGGCAGTTTCATGTGCCGTTTCTTGCATTCGAATGAGCTTGGCATAGGTACCATTTTCTCCTTTGGAAATGAGCTCATCATGAGTTCCGATTTCAGAAACACTCCCCTGCTGGAGTACAGCTACAAGATCAGCCTTGCGAATGGTGGAAAGGCGATGTGCGATAACGAGAGTTGTCCTTCCAATCATGAAACGATCAAGAGCCTCTTGAACCAGCTTTTCTGATTCAGAGTCTAGTGCACTAGTTGCTTCGTCCAAGAGAAGGATTGCCG